TCTCATATTCTTACTATCCTCAACTAAAGTTTGGATGCATGTCTCTAGTTCTAAAATCTTCTCTGTCAGCCTAACTATTTCCCTGCATTTATCACATGTGAATCCCTCGTCGCCGACAGAGAGAGCTAAACTATACATGTGGCAAGCGGTGCAAACAACAATAGCAGGAGAAGAAGCTATTACTCACCGTTATTGAAGAATTATTCTGACTTACCACTGTTGTTTGACGAACTCGTGAAAAAACGGCGCGAGAGAGAAAAGAAACGGAGTGAGAAAAAAAGAAAACAGCAATAGACACGAATGGAAACGCCAATGACAAGCTAACGAATGCTAACGCGCTGCACTCGCGGTTTTAGAATAAAAGCGAACAATCAAATTAATCAGATTAGTTTAATAGATAATATCAGAAATATGGTGGGGATTAAGTTATATTTTATCACTTTAAACAACTGAGAGTGATAGTAAGATAGAGATTCAACAGAAAAGCGAGGCTACACAGAGCTACAATCACAAACCGCTCTGCAGCACGGCAAACAGGAAACGGAACCCTAAGAGGAACTTAACTAAGCTGAGTTCCTCTAACACTGACCAATAGGAACCCAATGATATTACCACTCTCTCACATACTATTATTTGACTTTTTTTTTTCTTACAGTTTCTAGCCATGCAGCCTTTCTCTCTGGTTTTATGACAGCTGTACCTTTTATAGTTTGCAGAACCGATAGCAGAACTTTTAACATTACAATCTAAAATTGCTCTTTAAAGCATTAAAACAACTAAATTAAAAGTTAAAATCACTGAATTAAACATTTAAATAAATAATAAAGAAAATTACTATTTTAACTGCTATAAGAAACACACATTAACTCATTTTAGCTTAGCAATTAGTACTGTAGCCTACTAGCTTACATTTGATTTACCCATTACAATAGTCCCTTTACAGTTGCTGCTATCATAAAAATACACTTTATATGTAGGTTTAAAATTCTACAAAAGACACATTTAATGTCCAAAAACAATTTTTTTTAGCAAAATGTATATTCTACTCAGAATTATTGCGCTTCTATTCGATTCGATTGCGCTCAGTCTGTTTAGTGCGCATGCGCGCAGCAGTGCTCGTTCACTTGCGTCAGCCTCGCCCACTCCTGACAGCAAAATGAATATGTTTGCATGACTTTCTAACATTTACAGAGGAAAAATAAACCTGTGACATGTCAGTTATGCACTGAGGAAAACACAACG